TAATATTTTCATGACTAGCTTTCAGGTTTTGCTTAAATGTTCTCTTTTCAATGAATCTGTCTATGACCATTTTATATAAAAATATAGCCATCTTCATCTCCAAACTGGGATTTCTGATCTATTTTGTATTTTGTATCTGTATAGCAGATATTGCCTTCTGACCTATACATTTACTATTTTTTAATTACAGAAGTATCCCAAGTACCTAAAATATCTGACACATCATAGGGAATTTGATAAATATTTGTTGAATGAGTAAAAACATAACACTATACCAGAAAATGACTAGCAATAGCTAGGATACAGAGACTTGGATACTGGAGTTCAACTCTTCATACGTCCGGCTCTTTGCATCATAACACTATTTAATCATAAGACTTCTGAGACAGTCCCAGATGAACACTTAGCCCAGTGGTCAGCACACAGTCAGTGCTGAACTAGTGTTAGATGCTCCCAGGTAAACAACACCATCAGAAGTGCTGTGGCTCTTCTGAGTCATTTCTTTCAGGATTAGATGCCATGCTGCTTTGCAATGCCTGGAAAATAAGGGCCATGGATAATGATGCCTGACAGGGTTTCCTTCCCTTCCTCAGAGACATGTTATGCTTCAGGGTTGTATTAATATCTCACAGTGCACTCAGTTCCCTTTTTAACTGTTTCCATTCCATCTGTGAAAATTGAACATGTATGGCTTTCTCTGTGGTTGGCTTCAGGGTTCTGTGTATTTTCAACATGAGACTCAACAAAGTGGTCAGATTTGCTCCCACTGTAGCTGAAGTCATTGAATACTCTTTGGTATTTTGAATCTGGGTGCTCATTATAAGACAGGGTGGAGAGAACTTTGGTATCTTAACTTAGTTTTATTACCACAGTTAAATAAAAAAATATTTTTTTGTTAAGTGTGTGTTCAAAGTAAATAGTAGCCAAGACAATACATCTCCTCCTCCCTTCCCCCTACCACTGATGTCAGTGTATCCAGAACTTTCTAGGATTGGCCTGGAGAAGCTGGACATGGCTGATTGCCCCAGGTCTTGCAATCTCTGAGTAACTTCAACCCTGTCTTTAGTGCAGATACAAAGTGGAATTGAAGGCAGTGGCAGATGTGAGGACCGGAAGCTTTAAAAGGCCATGTTGTAATAAAGACACACTCATCTCAGGTGCTCTGAAGATACTGTAGGGCTAGGGTTGCTGTTTGATTCAGAGAAAAGCTGTTACTTTACCAGGGTTTTATGGGATTTCTGAGTTTGCACTTGATGGTGGCTGTGGGATAAGAGAGGCAAAGAGAGCAACATGCAAGAGCAACATGTGTACACAGCATGTGTACACACTGGCATAAGAGATATGGTAGAGGATCTATCTGGTGCTTCACAGCATATACTTCTGTCTGGCATAAGAGATATGGTAGAGGATCTATCTGGTACTTCCTAGCATGGGCTTTGATGGCATATCCCAGAATGTGGGTTTCATCTGAGTAGGAGTTTAGTAAATTAGGTATAGTATCACATCTGTAGTAGCAGTAGAGAAGCTGGAAAGAAAGGTGAAGCTACTTAGAAAAGAGGGATTTCCTTTTGTACTTAAAGGATATTAGAAAAAAAATGGTTGATCAGAGGCACCTAAAAGCTATAGAAAAATAATAGACCTATGGAAAAATCATGTGAAGCATGATTTTAAAAGTTGACAGGGAATAACATTATTGAAATTATTTAAGTTTAGAACAAAAATTTCACGAGGTAAGGTTACCAGATAAAATATACAATACCTAGTTAAAATTGAATTTCAGATAAGCAATGAATAAACTTTAGTATAAATATGTTCTATACACTATTTGGTAGATGTACTTATACTAGACAGTATTTTTTTAATCGAGATGCTTGGGTATTCTATTTTTATTTGGAAAATCTGATAATCTGACATGATAAAAGATGATATGAAGAGATGGTGGTCAGACTCAGCTATTAGATTCTTCCTTTGAAGATTGACGATGGGATGTTTTTGTGAAAGAGTTTTACCATGTTTATGTGGAGGTGCACAGTGAAGCATTTTCTACAATATAGGGAGAACTTTAGGAGAATCATTTCTAAGTTTGAGTGGTAGGGGCTTTCCTTTATGAAACTGTAAAGAAAAGGAAGATTGAAGCTGAGCCACAGAAAAGAGGGGGTCATCTAAACTACTGAAAGCATCTAATACTCAGTGGGGTAGCAGGACAAAGTCCTGTGTGTTCACTCAACAGAATGGGTGTTACCCTGGTGAGAAGAGCCATCCAGGCTGCTTTATCAAGTGTGAGCATGGCTGAGCTGCATTGTTTCTGAGTCCCTTGATATACAGTGTCCCTTGTGTTCTGTTCTTGTTTTCACTGGGCTGTAAAGGCATTATAAAACCTCCGATAGTAAACACTCTGCTGAGAATGTGAGGTCATAGTAATGTGACCTCACAGGGATCCAGATCCTTGGAAGGCTGAATATCTCAGTGGACCCTGGAGCCCTGGGGTAAAGAATACTGAGGGATCTTCTGAGAAGCATGGCCCAGCCAGGCCACAGAGGTTGCTATGGGTGCTTCTTGGTGTCTGTATTGTTACTGGTGAGTTTCGGTTGCCATCAGGCTTTGGGACTTTCTGATTTGAAAGCATTTTTTGTTGTTTTCTTTTGTTCAACTAATTTTGAAGACATCTAGAAATGAAAGTAGAGGGTTTTTTTTTTTATTTTGTTTTTTAAGAAGATCCAGAGAAGTGGTGCACAGTGATTAAAAATGACATCTTTTGATGCATGTGAGGAAAATAAAGTGAAATCATCTAGGCTGGACAGGAAGAGGAAAATATGTAGAGTGGGAACTATGACAAACAGGCATGGTTTTGAGCAGTAAAGTTTTCAAATATAGTATCATGAAAAGCTACTTGGATTTTAGCAATACTGGTCCATTGCTGTCTAAGTGTAATTATTCCATTATTTGCATGCAGGGATTAATATGTGCCATGTATGTGTTTTGGGGACATATTTAATTAAACTTCTCAGTTTAAATGTGATGAGTCCTGACTTGGACATTGCTTTTTATCTTATGACATATAAGCATATAGAGGAAAAGCATATGTGAAAACACCTCATTATTTATAAATACCTCCTTGATTGTAACTAACAGCTCTTGCATTAAGTATTTTATATTCTTAACTTAGTGGGTAAAACCAAAATGATGATTGTCTCTTTAAATGAAATTTCTACTATGACTTATAGAGATATTCTATAGAAAGTCTTAAACATATTTTTTAGCAAAGTTGGCTGGTAATACTAATTTGATAGGTGTGTTCAGCAGGACAAAATAAATACTAAATATATACTGCATTTTAAAGAAGATTTTTGTCATAATTGGGCAATGTATTGCAACTGGTAGGTATAGTTTGTTGGAAAGTTGAGGTGGGTATTTGTTTGAGTCTCATGAACACTGGTTTGTCTGGGTCACTTCCAGTTCATGTCAGTTGTTCAGCATTGATGATGGGTTGTAGTTGTCACTGTATTCTTCACTATTTTAATACTCAAAGTAAAATCAGGCCAAATTTACCTAATACTGTCCTTGATCTGGCACTTTAATTAATGCCTTCAGTTTCACGTGTGATGATATGAGATGAAGTCATTCTGCTCCTGATAGTTGTCCTTAGGAGAGCACTTATGTGTGTGAATTGGGATGATAAAGCTGATAAAAAACATTTTTTTTTCTGCCGGGTGCTGGTGGCTCACGCCTGTAATCCTAGATACTCATGAGACTGAGACCTAAGGATCACTTTTCAAAGCCAGTCTGGGCAGAAAAGTCTGTGAGACTGATCTCCAATAAAAAAACCCACTAGAAAACTGGAAGTGGTGCTCAAGAGCGCTTGCCTTGAGCTGAAGAGTACAGAGACAGTGCCCAGGCCCAGAGTTCAAGCCCCATGACCAACAAAGACAAAAAACAAAAACAATTTTTTTTGTTCTTAGTAATTTTTTCAAGAGACAACAGCATTGGTAAAGCACTCTTGAAAATGTAATGATAATTTTTTTGTTAATTTTTTAATTTTGTTAATTTTTTGTAATTCACACTTAACATTCCAGAAAATTTTATCTGCCACCAAAAGTTTTTGACAGTACTTAAACTTACCAAGTTAGTGAGGGTGATATTTACAAAAATGGTCTTTGTGATATTATATAATGAAATTTGTCTATAGATATTTCACATGGGACCGAAGTACCATGTTAGAAACTCACAGGGATAAAAGATCCATTCAGATTTTATGACTCATCTTAATATGAGATACAAAAAATGCATTGCCCATTGCCATAAATTTAGATTCTATGTAGCAACTGACTTTTAAGAAACTACCACTTGTCTAATTGTCTAATTGTTTCTCTAGTTAACCAAAAGTATACACATCCTGTCAAATACACATGTTCTTTTTCTATTGGTGTGAGAACAGATTTTTCTAAATGTATTTCATTCAACTTAAGCATTGTTACAGTTTGCATGTACAAGTATTCTGAGAATTCAGTTGGCCTCTCCAAACCAGCCATTAAAGAAATCTATGACGTCATTAATCCCTGTCATTTGTGTTACTGAAGTTATGTTTTTTAAGGAACTAGTTATTTGTAATAAAAATGTTATAGTTAAATTACATGAAATAGATTTACTGTTTTTTAAATGAATTATTGTTTTACATCTTTGTTAGATTACTAATATTTTACATATCAGTAGATAGAGCCCACGTCAACAAAAGCTTTTTGGAGTTACTACTTGTAACCCTATAAAGATTGAGAGAAAAACTTTGGGGAACCACTGGTTTAGAGTTTATACAGTCATTCCACGTGTCCTTTGATTTTGACATGTGGTAACTGCAGATACTTTTATAGAGTATTAAATGTAAAATGGTCTCATTTAAAATGGTTTTATGTAGTTGTCTGTACAATATCATAATGATTTAATCAAATATTCCTCTAACATCTAAGAAAACTTCTTTCTACTTTTTTTTAAATCAATTTTCATAGCAATGCTGGGGTGAGAACAACACATCCAGAAGCTCATTCTGAAATGGGGAGCACTGAAATTCTGGAAAAGGAGACTACAGAGAGTCTTAGTAATGGTACCAGCAGCAACTTGGAAGCTGCCAAAAGACTGGCCAAACGCCTTTATCATCTAGACAGATTCAAAAAATCGGATGTTGCAAAACACCTAGGCAAAAAGTATGTTTCAATCCAAGATTGTTGTCTTCTTAGTGTGTATGTATGTATGTGTGTATGTGTGTAAAAAGTTTACATTTTAATAATCAAAATTCTGTTTTTTTTGTAATAGCAATGAATTTAGCAAACTGGTTGCAGAAGAATATCTGAAGTTCTTTGATTTTACAGGAATGACACTAGATCAGTCTCTCAGGTATGCATATTATTATTTCTATTCTTCCTTGCCTCTAAGTAACGAATTCTTAGAAATATGAATCCTTAGAAGAGAAAGTAATGTACTCTAGCTAAATCCTTACTGTTTTTTTTATTACCTCCACTTCAGTTGCTTTGTGAATTTAAATTGTATTGTAATACTAAACAGAAGATAATAGCAGGGAGTATGAGAAATAAATGTTTGTTTTTATGAAATAAACATGGACTGATAAATTTATGCCCAGTAGAAAATCCAAGTCCAACTGGCAAAATGCATAATGGTGACACAGTAAATCAGGAGAAAAAGTATTCAGTATCATTTCAGTAAAAATATTACAGAAAGTTTCACTATGTCAGTTAAATGAATATAACACAATGTTTGTCATCTTAGCCATTTTAAGTGTATAGACAATAGTATAAAATATATTCCCAATGTCAGGCAATCATCATAGTCATCAATTTCAGCACAGGAGAAATTCTATATCTGATAGGCAGTAATTCCCTTCCTTCACCCCAGTTATACAAACCAAGGCTCTCCTTTGCATCCCCGTGATCCTGACAACTCTGCCTACTTTGTATAAGTATAATCATATACTAATTGTTTTATGTGATTTTGTTTTACTTACTAATCATCATGGCCTGAGAGTTAATAAAATATGTGACATATTGTAGAATTTTCTTCCTCTGTAAGGTTGAATCCAGTGTATGGATGGCTACTGCTTTCTTAGCCACCTATCCATAAATAGGCTCCTTAGATCACTTCCATATTTTGTCTGTTGTGAAAATGCTACTGTGAGCATAGGGACACAGATATCCTTGGGAGACCCTAATTCCTTCCTTCTTTCCTTTTTTCCTTCCTTTTCTTTTCTTTTCTTTCTTTCTTTTCTTTCTTTCTGTTTTGTGATCAGTTTAGAGACTGTAACATATACCTTTTCACTAAGTACCTGTTTATAATAGGTGAGTAGTTTTTTCTAATATGGTATTTTTAAAATAACTCTTGAATGGTATAAAAATGACTGAACATAATAATTCACAGAGAATATATGTTAAAGTTTCTACCACACTCTACTTTTTGTTAAATCTTAAAATGGAGGTGTCTAAAATACATTGAGTCTCACTTTTTCCATATTACACTAAACATTCAAGGTAACATTTTAATCTTATGAACTGCCTGAGCCATAGCTAAGATATGGAACCAACCCAGATGCCCCTCAGTAGATGAATGGATCAAGAAAATATGATATGTGTGTGTATGTGTATGAATTCTATGCTTCAATCAGAAGAATGACACTGCTCCATTTGTAAGGAAATGGAAAGACTTAGAAAACATCCTATCAAGTGAAGTAAGCCAGACTCAAAGAAACATAGGTCCCATGGTTTCCCTTATTTGCAATGATTAGTATATGTCTAGGATAATCTTAGCAGATGAGCATAGGCTCAATAGCTATGTGCATATGATCATATAAGATGATGCTAAGCAAAATGAACACTAAGACATGGACACAAGAGGTTTTTCTTTGATGATGTTGGTTTTAATATGCTATGTGATTTTTTTTTTTTTTGTTTCTTTTGAATGTTCTTCCCCCTATGGTATAAACCCTGTTGTCACTGTGTTTGATTTTGGTATCCTGGTATTGTATTTACATTTATTTGAATTAGGGAAGGGAAGGGGAACAAAAGACAAGGGGGGAACCAATGCAACAGTGATATACACAAGACAATATGTTGGAAATGATCTATACAACTCGGGGGGATGGAGGGGAGGGAAAGTAGGAAAAAGAAGGGCTAACAAGTTTGACAAGAAATGTACTTATTACCTTACTTGTATAACTGTAACCCCTCTGTGCATCACCTTGACAATAAAAAAAAAAGGAAGATTAAAAAAAACTGCCTGAGCCCAGTTGAATTCTGAGATCATCTCTGTAATCCTTTAATCTGACAAGTCAGGAAACGGCCTGGGAGGTGAACTGAGGGTGATTGTATTAGAACTAAAATGGCTTTTCCCACAAATCAAAGGTATGCACAGGTCTTTTCGAGATAATGGCCAAAAGTGAAGTAATGTTCTATATTTTTGCTTTTATGTTCCAGTGTGCTTATTTAAAAAATGTATGATGAACAAATGGTCACCTTAATAACAAACTATGAATCTTCTACCAAGAAGGCAGAATTTTCATAGGAATAGGATTTATTACATGTTTTGTTTTGTATTGTTTTTATAGTCATAAGATGTATTAGAAATTTTTTTTCCTCCCATGGGCCATAGTTAGGAAGATGTTCTACTTTGTCAAGTAGGGGTCATCTGGTTTAATCTATAATAAATAGTATTTTTAGTGACTCTGGCTTGGATTGGTGTATAGTTCTGGACTTATTTCCTATTAGTCAAAGAAGTTTAATGGTTTATTCCTTAGTCTGAAGAGGAACTTAAGCTTTATTTAATAATTTCCTCTTCATATAACACATCAATACTAAAATACAATGTTAATAAGAAAAATAAAATTAACTGCTTTACACAAGGCAGTGTAATTTTTACAGTGGTTAATGGAAAGTTAAAATGTAACAAAAGCAAAATACACACACACACACACACACACACACACACAAACAAAATGGAAAGTTAAAATGTAACAAGAGCAAAATACACACACACACACACACACACACACACACACACACACACACACACACACACACACAAAAACAAAAACCCTGTTTGATATTGTACCCCAAGTCTTAGTTTTCTTTTCTTTCTTTCTTTAATAGTGGCTGACCACTGAAAATTTGCTACTGGACCAAAGTCATAGTGGTACATCCCTGACCACTGCTTTCAGGCATTTTTTATATACTGGCTACTCTGTAATTAACCTGTAGGTTAATTATATTGACATTTTGTATAATTTAAATATCAATAGAAGTTTTTGCTACATGACTAATTAATGTTTTTTTTAAACTATTGTACATTTAATCTCTGTGTCCATATAATTTAACTTTGTCATATATAAAGTATATGGTAAACTTTGTAAAATTTTTTTCCTATTAATTATTTCTTAGGTATTTCTTTAAAGCATTTTCTCTCGCTGGAGAAACTCAAGAACGAGAAAGAGTATTAATACATTTCTCCAATCGATACTTTTACTGTAACCCAGAGGCCATTGCTTCACAAGGTAAGCTGATGGGATTTGTACATTTCCTGTTTCAACAGTGGTTATTATATTGTTTATTTTAAGGTTAAATTTTATTGTAGAAATATAGAAAGTTATTCAAGGAAATGAAGTTTATCTAAGTGTCTCTAATTACTCAGAGATAGCTGTTAATAGTTTAGTCTGTTGATCTATTTCATATCACATTGACATCATTAGTTGTGTTTTCTATCTTTCCCATCCGTTTCCTTATATCATTAAATATGCTTTAAGAAAATTTATTGACAACATAATAGCTTTTATTTTTCTTTTAATTGCTTTTGCTGTATTTTCTAGTTCCCAGTGTGGCAGTTTACTATCTATACTGCTCAGCTCTGTCATTCAGAAGTACTGTGTGCAAATTGCCATGTAGTGAATGAAATGATGTTTTTTCTCATTTCTGTATCTTTGTCTCTTAACCTTCATGTAAATGCAGGATGCTTGGCTTTGTGGCTGGTTCTGGAAATGTGTAAATCTTTATGGAAGTTGTAGTACACATTTGTTCCTTTTTATATTAATTATAACACCATCACTGACTTATTTATGATTTTAGTGAGCCATAATATTATATTTATTACATTTTGGCAATTGAATATTAAACTAATTGTTGAACTACCTGGGAAAATAATTTATAATATAAATTCCTTTTTATTTTTTATTTTATTTTTTTGGTCCATTCATGGGGCCTGAACTCTGGGCCTGGGCGCTGTCCCTCAGCTCTTCAGCTCAAGGCTAGCGCTCTACCACTTGAGCCACAGCGCCACTTCCGGCTTTTTTCTTTTTGCTTATGTGGTGCTGAGGAATCAAACCCAGGGCCTCATACATGCAAGGCAAGCGCTCTACCACTGAGCTACCTTCCTAGTCCCAATATACATTTCTATAATCAAAACTTTTAGTATAAGCAAGCAAACTAATTTGTGATTTAAAAAACCTCTGATAACCTCTGATAATTCTGCAATAAATCACTGAGACTAGAAGGAAAAGTAGTTGGGGCTGGGAAGGTGGCTCAGTGGTAGAGCGCTTGCCTTGCATGCCTGAGGCCCTGGGTCTGATTCCTCAGCACCGCATAAGCAAAAAGAAAAAAAAAAGCCGGAAGTGGCGCTGTGGCTCAAGTGGTAGAGCGCTAGCCTTGAGCTGAAGAGCTGAGGGACAGCGCCCAGGCCCAGAGTTCAGGTCCCACCACCGGAGCGTCCCCCCCCGCCCCAAAAAAAGAAGGAAAAGTAGTCACAATTGTCTTTTAGTAGAGACTTCATAGGTACTTGCTCAAATATCCTCTCCCCGAACTTACCTGTGTTAATTTACTACCTGGTTAGTAACTGCAGACTGGGGGTATTTGAACTAGTTGCTCACTATTTCTATCCCTTCAGTATCAACTAGAGGGAATAAGCGAGTTATAAGAGGGTCACTTGTCAAATCTAGGAAGATGCTGATGTTCTTGAGTACAGTAGGGAATATGGGTCCATGGCATTCAGCTGTTGATAAGGATATTTGAGAGTTGGCTGCTGAGTTTTACAATAATTTGAGGAATCCGTTTTAAATGTGTGTAGAACTTGTTATGACAAAATAGAACTGGAATATACTGCTAGGCATGGAGATACTGGTAAGAAATCACTTACTATAAGAAGAAGAAAACAAGGTATTTTTAATATATAAACTCAGTCACTCCACAATCCTTTCTGTACATTTTCTTTCTGTTTTATACTGAAGGTTGAACTCAGGGCTTGTTAGGCACCTATTCTACCACTTGTCCTTTATTGCCTTAGTTATTTTTCAGATAGTCTTGGACCATGGACTTCCTACCTATGCTTCCCATGTGACTATGAATACAAATATGTACTAATAAGTATTGGCTGAGATGGAGTCTTACTAACTTTTCCCTCAGGCTTGCCACAATCAGCAATCTCTCTGATTTCTGCCTCCTTATTAGCTAGTATTATAGGTGTGAAACACTATGCCCAGTCCCCTTTCTGTACATTTAGCATTAATTAGTATAATGATTACTCTACCTGAAACTATCATCTATTGTACTTGTATTGGAAAAGAGGGAAGGAATAGAATTAATTCTGATATTTGGAAATGAGAAGCTTAACTGAATGCTATTCTTTTACTGTATAAAGTAAAGTGATATTTTCATTTAAGTGTGAAACTACCTTTTGGACTTGGGTATCTTTCCCCTGATATTTAAGTTTTTAAGCATCACAGATTACTTCACTACTTTTCTTTTAGCTTGACACATGATAATCCTAGTCAACCATAGTCCTTTAAAGAATGGCATGAAAGGGAGCTATTCCTACACTTTTTTTTAAGCCAGAGAAATAATACATGAACAGTAAACTGTGATAAACTCAGATCTTAATTTTCTTTAACTTTGACTTCTTTTTCAACTGAGTCTTTTCCCAGAAAGGTTAAAATAATCAAATAATTTATTTTCATTTTTATACAACATGTTATAGAAAATTGAGAAAATATAAATAAAATAATACAAAGTATAGTTTCATGACCCTGAGATAATTTTTTTTTAATATTATGATGTAAGCTGGGCACCAGTGGCTCATGCCTGTAATCCTAGCTACTCAGGAGGCTGAGATCTGAAGATTACTGTTCAAAGCCAGTCTGGGCAGGAAAATCCATGAGATGTTTTATCTACAGTTAACCACCAAAAATGCCAGAAGTGAAGCTGGGCTTTTTGTTCATGCCTATAGTCCTAGCCACTAAACAAGCTGAAATCTGAAGATAACAGTTCATAGCCAGTCTAGACAGGAAAGTCTGTGAGACTCATCTCCAACTAAAGTACCAAACAAGCCAGAAGTAGTGTGCCTCAAGCAAGAAAGCTCAGGGACAGCACTCAGGCACTGAGTTCAAGCCCCAGGACCAGCACACACACACACACACACACACACACACACACACACACACACACACACACACACACACACACACACACACACACACACACACACACACACACACACACACACACACACACACACACACACACACACACACACACACACACACACACACACACACACACACACACACTCTCTGTCTCTCTCTCTCTCTCTCTCTCTCTCTCTTATGGTTTATATTTTTCTTGATATATTTAATAGAAAAAATATATAATGTGTATATTCTCACAATTTACCGTGAAATATCTCTCCATTTCAACATATGTGTCTGGATAACATTTTTAACGATCTGAACATAAAAGAACTGTGCTTTTAGAGGGTGAGAGTTACTAGTCTCCTCTCACCCTGTCTCATTGTAAGTCAAGTTTCTCTGCATATGCTTGTAGTTCCCATGGATCCTTAATTTGCTACCTTAGTGTAAAAAGCCTGGGGAGTCCATAGCACTGCTGCAAGGCTTTACGTATATGATGTCAAGCTGTCCTCTAGAGGGGTGGGGACAGTTTATCAATAGTAAAGTCCAGTTCTGTACACTGAGGTCCCTTTTGTTATACTTTATGCTTTATCTGTTTTCTGCTGCTCAAATATCACTAGTTGTGTTTTTTTGGTAGCATTCTGTCTTAGTTGGCTCTGATTATATGCTACTTGAATTTAACATGGGGTACAGCAGTAACAAATGAACTGATGCTTTCTGTCTCTGTTTCTCAGATGGAGTACATTGCCTCACCTGTGCGATGATGCTGCTTAATACAGACCTCCATGGCCATGTAAGTGAAGGCTTGTGGAGCTCTTGCAGAATCTAAACCTCTATGGGCTTACCCTTACCTCGGTTCCTGTAAACATTCACACCCTCCCCCCCATATCTTTATCTTGTTTTCTGTATTGTTCCTTCAGCAGGAAGATAAGTATAAATCTTTTAAAACAAGAAAGTATCTTTTAATTTTCCAGGCTAGCATAGAGTAATTTCGAGTACATATGTTGTCTGTGTGCCTGGAGTCCTCTTAGCAATAGCATGTTGTTCTGTGTCTTGTCTCACAGACAGACAGAGATCTTGTGTTTGTTTCCGATACATGTTATAGTAGTTGTCAGAGTGCTGGGAAGAAAATACGAACTAGTGCTAAAATGTTGTTTGTGTTTTCACTAAGTGTATTAGTAAGTGTAAGAATCTAGTCTTTTATGCATTCCTCAGATCTCCTAAGTTGTTCATTTGGTAGTTAAAACATCAAAAATAAAATGCTAAAATAATTATCTTCTCATATCTTATTTAAAATAGAGACTGATTTTAGATAAATTCAACCTTTATATAAGTGGAATTGAATCATTGAACTGAATGCTTCATGTAAAAGAAAATGAGAATTTTTGAGTTATATCTATACTTATTTGAAACAAATTATTTCATATTCCTATGTGCATTTATTTTGAAGAAAAATAATCAAGCTTTTATGTATTCAAGTGTTTACTATACTTTGGTAACTTACAATGTGGGAAGCTACAGTAAGATAAAATACTTAGATATTTGTCTTATTCCAGAGGGCCACATAATTCCATTATTTGAAACTGTATGTTCCTCTTTAAAATGGCCAAAAGGGAGCTTTATAGCCCCATTGAATTGGACTAGCGGATTATAAGAAGACTACCAATTCCCCAGTAGCCAAGCATGTGGAGATAGAATCATGATTTTAACTATCTTTGTGTATTTCAAAATACTCCATTCAAGTTCCTTTTGCAGTTCATAAAAGGTGAATTCAAAGTAACTTAGTGCCTGGAAGACATATAGCACTGGGTTCAGAGATGACATAGACTGATGATGTAGGCACAGTCTAGCAGCATTCTTAGACAGTAGGGTACTTCCTGTGGTTCCCACAGTATGTACATGTCTGTGGGGATTAGAATCTGGCATTCTCCCAGTGTGTTAAGGGATGTCTAGCATGTAGATTGTTCTGACCTCTGTTTTCCTGTTCCCAGACAAGCCAGTGTTTCTTTCTTCCCTCTGTGCCCATTCTGTGACAAAAATTCCACTACTTTACCTCGTACTTCTTAATTTTTTAACTGTCTGGCTAGAGAGTATAAAAATTTCTGATAGTACTAGCATTAGAACTCATGGCATGGCACTTGGTTGGGCAGGTACTGCCACTTGAGCCTCATCCCCAGCCTCAAAGGGCATGTTTCTGCATGTGTGTTCACATACAACCGTGACACCAAGTAATCTCAGCATGAACTATCAGCAGCACCTGACACTTGTTCATTTAACACACACACACACACACACACACACACACACACACACACACACACACACACACACACACACACACACACACACACACACACACACTTGTGCTGGGGCTTGAACTCAGAGCCTGGTTACTGCCTTGAGATTTTGTGCTGAATGCTAGTACTCTACCACTATAGCCACAGCTCCCCTTTAGGCTTTTTTAGTGGTTAAATTGGCAATAAGAGTCTCTGGGACTTTTCTTCCTGAGCTGGCTTTTTACTGTGATCCTCAGATCTCAGCCATCTGAGTAGCTAGTATTATAGGCATGAGCCACTAGCACCTGGCCATTTAACATCTTTTGACTGAGAAAACGTATAGTTTTAGTATTAGTTTAGAACTTGTTTCAAGGTTGGGAATTTCTACACAGGTGATTAGATTTTGGGGTGCTTATTTACATGAACTGCTTTTTAAGCAGGTACTATTACTTTGAACGAAATGTGCATTTTGATATCTGTAACTATGGAATATAGCAGTAAATACAAATATGAGGTTTATCCAGATAACTCTTCCTGTGTGGTTGTGTCCATAAAAGAGATGGGCACCCTGGTGTCTATACTCCAGAGGTTCAGAACCACAGAACTAAGCCATTTGCTCTGCCTTCTGTAGACAACATTTGATGAATTGTTAAAAAGGTTAGAGAAAGTATCACATACCTCTAATTTTATCACTTGGAAGGCTTTTGCAAGAGGATCCTGAGTGTAAGGCCAGCTTGGTCTAAGTAGGGTGGCCCTATTTAAAAAATAGAAAGGAAGAAAGAAATTACTGTCATATGGATGAAAGAAGTGGTTACAATGAACATTATAGCATTGTCTTGAAATACATCAATTCTACATCAGTAGGCTATATTAGGAATACTACTGATATAACAGAGAGAAAACTGTAAAACTTTATGGGCTTCTGGGTCATATGCTATGGTTATAATTCTCAGTTTGGGTTTTAAAATCATGTACTATATACTTAAGATTGTCTGACATATTTATTTCCTTTGTTGTTATTTATAATGCATGCTATTAACAATCTATTGAATTTATAATTGATATCCTAAGAACTAACTATATGAAAATGTGTTTTTCTTATCTTTCCCTCTGGATTCATTTTAAAAATAAACTTTCCTTCTAGGTGGTAAGTTTTTAATCCATAATTCTGGATGTAGCATTTTTTTTTGCATCATGGTTGCCTGACACAGCATAATAGTGTATGTCTGACTTATCAGCATGGCTCCTATGAAGCTGAATCATTAAGCAGATAGTGAATTATCTCCAATGTCTGCTCATTTCCCCTCTCCTTACTCCTGTACTGAGGCCATCACCACTCACTACTTTCTCCAGTGCCCAGAATACTCCTCTTGGGGATAGACTAATATACCATTGTCCTTTCTTCTTTACCATTTTGTCATAATAGCAATGCAGCAGCATGTCTGTTCCAAGAATTGCCAAGACCAGCTTGTCCTCACGCTTCTCACGGGAAGGGCTTAATTAGGGGATTTTCTGTCTTTATTTCCTCCCTCCCTCCTTCCCTTCCTTCCTTCCTCCCTCCCTTCCTTCCTTCCTTCTTCCCTTCCTTCCTTCCTTCCTTCCTCCCTTCCCTCCCTCCCTCCCTCCCTTCCCTCCCTCCCTTCCTCCCTCCCTCCCTTCTTTCCTTCCTTCCTTCCTTCTTCCCTCTCTTTCTTCCTTTCTTCCTTCTCTCCCTAATAACCACACCCTGAAAATGAATTGATTTGGGCCTTTGTTGATCTGCTACTATCTCACTAATAAAAATGATGGAATGTATACTAATAAAATACTTCTAACATACAGTTCCTACTTTTATTATGTGGGAATACTTTTTCTTCTTCTAATGTGTTCTCTCATTCACCAAACACCAGTAGTGTTCCCACTCCTTCGTAGTTCTGTGCTGTCAGGTAAGCATCAGTGATCATGGAAGTCAAGTGTTCTCCAGTAGGCTAGGTGGGACTGCATTAGTCCCTTGTAAACAAAGACTTGAGTAACAGGTAACTGAGATGCTGTGCTATGAAACACTGGCAGGGTGTTTAAGTTTTACATGGAGTTATAGTTAGACTTCACTCATTAGGCCATGGAAAAGCCATCCTGAAGTATACACATATTTTTCTATAGAAATTCATTGACACCTTGAAGAACCTGCTTAAAACTATATGAATGCTTTATCTTGGCAACAGTGCTGACTTGCTTTTAACTTGTGTGCAAGTAGTTTATTCTTTTAGCTTAAATGATAACTTTATAATTGTTAATTGCTAATTTGGTATATAAACCCTTTTATTTTTATAATGTGTTTTTAAAAATTTATATGCAAAATAAAGGTCTTAGCCATGTAGATAATCTTCAAGTAAAACAAACTCCAGATTATCTTTTCCTGTGATGAAACTGTGTTGACAATTGCCCGAATTATCACAGAAAGAGCTGAAAACTTATATTTTATTGACATTATAAATGAAAAGATTTGATATGTGAACAAGTTCTATCAGGCTCCTTTTCCTAACTGATCTTCAAATGCCTTCTATTGACTATAGCTAACTAGTGCTTTACTCTCCTATGCTTTGATCCTGGTCAGCATTCAGCCCCTCGGCAGCACCATTGCCTAGCCTGAAGATGGGTGGCAAGGCCCAGGATGGGGGCAGGGTCTTCAAGCAGGGCCTCACAGGACAGCATTTTAGGTGGACGATTGCAATGAAGAGTGAGATTATATGAGCATACTCAGTTGCAGATTTCACAATTAGGAGATCTCTAGAGAGGGGAGAGTCAGTAGCTGGCTAAAGTGGAGTTGTGGTTAGAGACTACCATAGTTAGGGGAATTGTTATTAATTTAAAAAGAAATCATGACAACATGTACTATTTAATGTGGTGGCTTGAGCTTTTTAGCAGTATTTTCAACTAGTGTTTCCCTGCTCTCAGATTGGCAGCAGCTAGTGCACCATGTGCAGTGAGTAGAAGTATGACTCTTTGCTTGGGGGTGGGGTATTCCCATGTACTTTGTGTTTGGGACTCTCAAGGCATACTGAGCTAGCATCCTTAATCTATGGGCTGGCATCTTGCTAGTGTTTGGTGTTAGGTTATAAGTTCGATACTGACAAAAAGAAAGAATCCGTGGACTTAAGGATAGGTTTTGCAATGAATTAATGTATTTTAAAAAGTAGAGTTCACTTTGAGAAGGCTAACAGGAAGCATTTCTTTTCTGGTCTGTAAATTGAATTCTTGGATTGGCATTGTAGGAACTGAAAATTTTAATTAGTGGATAAGTATTTGGTTTATTTTTCTATTGTGGAAAGTGATCATTTGAGCAGTTAAAATGTGTTTATTTTCTTACATTGTGCTGTTTTATTATTTTTACACTTTAAAGCAACGACAGCCCTCCTTGAGGTTGATGAACCGTATGTAGTTGATGTTCTCAAGAAGTCTGTGTCTGAAATTATCATTATAACTGGCAGCTGCCTTTTGCCTGCGTGCCTCCCTCTTTCCTTCTTGTAGGGCTGTGGCT